TAAAATTTACGAAATGTATAATTTATATATTATTATTTTACAATTAAATTTAAATTGATATAAAATATAAATATTGCAGTTCAAAAGGAAAAAAAAGAAGTGAGTTAAAAAAAGAGAAGCATTATGTTAATTACAATTATATAAAATTAATAAAAATATTAAAGTTATGATTAATTTTAATTTTTTTATGGAATTCGATAATTTTATTAAAAATAGAAAATATTCAAATTATAATGAAGATTTACGACCACAATTGTAAACTAAACATATAATAAGAATGTTTTCCTAAACACAAGAAAACTAGCAACTTAAAATCACACAATGATCATACAAGGAAAAAGTTAAAAAAACTAACCAAATAAACTCGAACAATAGATAAATATGAGTGAATCTGATTGTATCGGCAAACGAACAACAAAAGGGAATAAAATTATTGAAAGACCACCGACATACCGCAAATCAGAATCGAGCGATGTGAAAATACTATCCATAAACGCAAATCGCATATTCAAATTCAATCTGATAGTCCAAAGCAGAGAATATCATCATGATAACAAATAAGCGACATCTTGATCAGTCGTAGCGATATTAAATTCAACCTTGAAAAATAAACGGAAGCAACGACCAAACAAACGAAAGCGTGTCATAGAGGTAGAGAAAAACGTGTTATAGAGGTAGAGAAAAACGTGTTATAAATACAGAAGAATATGTTTCAAAAATTCATAATTATTAAGAATAAAAAATAAGAACAAACAAAGATACGCAATAATAAAGTAAAAGAAAAATAATGAATACCGGTGATCAGCAATCAGTACCGAGATTGATGTCGCCGTCGATCACAAAGATGAAAAAGAAAAGAGATTAATGGTGACTATGTAACAAGAGAGAAAAAGAGAACTATGATTAGTATACTTAATTATTTCTCTTTTATTAAGTGTTTTAGGTCCTTATTGCATTGTTTTGCTAGTATGGTTTTTATTTGAGGTTTTGAGTTTATTTATTTAATTGAAAACATATTTTGAAAAATAATTCATAGAAAATTAATTATATTTTCTGGAGAAAAAAGTAACAACTTATAAGAATCATTTTATGATGTTTGGAAGATGTTATGTAAATCATTTTCTGTCATGCTTACACTGATGATGCTTTGCCTTCTGTAACATTTTTAGGGTAAAATTCGGGTAAGTTTTCTATTCAACTTGGTTTGTTCAAGTTTAAGATCAAATTTGAGTTATCATATTGGAGTTTATATCATGTCTCTAGTTGAGTCATCATATTTATCAAAACATACTTGAATAATTCTAAAACAAATACTTAGAAGGCTTAAAAAACAATTTAGAAATTGAGAAAAAAATAATAAAGGTTGGCTGGGTTTTTCTTTAATAACGTGAAATTAAAATTTTATCGATCTATATCTGGCCCGATTATTTTATAAAAAACAATGTTAATATGAGAAAAAAAACAATCTTAGTTTCTATTTGACTGTTTTTTAGCTGGTTCAATTGAAATCCTGAATCTTATCTTTAAGAATTAAGCTTATTTAATCATCTAAAATTAAAACTAAATACATATTTGAAATCCTCTCACCACAAGATTCCTTTTGGATTGTTATTCTGAACTAGTTCAATTAAAACTATAAATCTTTAATTTAAGGATTGAGCCAATTTGATTATCCAAACTTCAAATTAAATACGTATTTGAAAAACTCTCAAATTAAATTTAGAGATTCATGTGATTTGAATGTTTTGGACCTTAAATTAAACATACTATTGGAAATCTCCATGAGTTTTCTATTACCTGGTATCATTTATTCAATCGTTTGAGTAAAAATCGATGGAACCTTAAAATGAATTCTTTCAAGGATTTATATGATTTAAAGGTCTAAACCTTATATTAAAGTGAGATTCTAAGAGTTCAAATCTTGTTCTTTCATTTGATGATGTTTCTCTAAGAATCTATCTTAAATCCTAAAATTTAAGGAATTATGGTAATTTAGGGTTAGGACGTTGAATTTAGTTTAGATAATGAGTACGTCTTTAACATATAACTCTCAAGAAAATAAGGGTTGTTGAAAACCCCTAAATCGAAAAGAGAGAATAAAAGTTTCCAAATAACTCGATAGATCGAAATATCATGAAAATTTGGATTAAATGAGTGTAGTCAACTTTTGAGTCCATGTATTGTATTGTATTGTTTTGTTTGCTTTCAATCATAAGTTAATTTAGAAATATTTTTTAGGATGGACACACATATATTAACAAAAAAAAATTATATATAAATAGGTACAAATAAAATCTCATAGTGTGCAGAATTAGTAAATCACATGAAATCATTTTTACACATTTTCAACATAAATCATAGCTCAAATCATCAATTCACACTTTTCGACCAAATACACACAACATGCACACATTTGACTCACAACATCGTATTTATGACTCACATGAAACATTTCGAAGTTAGATGTGCACTGTCTTAATGCAAAACACCAAATAAAATCTTTAGCTCTCTTCCTTGAATCAAACCAACATAAAATAAAATCATAAAGCAATCAAGAGATAAATGAAAATATAACAATGAATTTACAACTCTAAAATTGAATTAAACTTATTGATAGAGCCTTAAAAGCCTAAACATTCTCTAAACACCAAACCTCCTCCTATCACCACTTGAAACAAAGAGAGCTCATTTTGAAGCTCAAAAATAAATATGAAAATCTTGCCTTTTTTTTTAAAAAAAAAAAACTTGTTAGAATCACTCTTTCAAAATTTGCTCTTCTCTAAATCAAATGCCCCTAGAAAATTGAGATATATTAGGGTATAAAAGAAGAGAGATGAATAAATGAACGTATATAAGGGCGAGGTCACTAATAGTGACTTCCCTCCCTCCCTAAATCCCATGTCAAAATGACTAAAGAACTTTCAATGGGTTAATTATCCTATTGATCCCTTCATAATTAATCTCAATTAAAATATTCTCATTTTTAATATAATTGGTGGTGTTGTAAATCTTTTTTTTTTACTTTGCTTCGTTTGCCTAATAAATATATATACATTGATGTTTTAAAAAATTTAATAACTTTAAACTGATTTTTTTTATCAATATGAATGAAAGAGATATATAGCTCTTTTAAATTCTTTTATGCTACTTTTATCAATTTAAATGAAAGAGATCCTAATGAAAATTAGAATGATGTAAATTAAATATACTTACAAAAGTATTAATCATTTTAAGTTTTATTAGTTCATTTTAGTTTATAAAAGATAGTATAATCATAAAATAATTTTTATTCTTATTTTTTTCCTTATAAATTCTTTACTTTTCATTATTTTATCCATCCTATCCACAAAACTTGAAGGAGAAAGAATCTAAAGAGATGTTGCATTTAAGTTCAGAACTTTCAGATGACTGTTGTTTTTATTATTAATAATATATTATTTTGTTTGCCCCTTCTGTCATATACTCTGCTCGTTATAACGGCAGTATAGCAATGAACAACCCAGCTGATGCCTTGATTAATTAGTCTAATCATATGACTAATTCATGAAAGGAATCCTCAATATTTTTAAATTTTAGTTTTAACCTAACCATGATCTCACTGTCTATTCAACTAACAATTCCATAGTAATCTTAACAAATCTACAATGAGTTGTTTTATTGGGAATCCTTTTATCTTTCATATTTTTATTATCACCTTCTAAGAATCGTTGTCTACATCGATTCACCAAGGAATATTTACTATTTCTAGGCGTTGAAGCACACACAGACAAGACTTTACGTGCTTGCCACGAGTTTTGCAGTTGTGCCCAATTTCCAGCCCTCGCTGTTCCGCAATCCCGCTTTGGACTATGTTTTGGGGATAGTTTAAAAACGAGGATTTTTAAAACTCATTGAATGTCATTGTTGATAAGAGGAAGTGATTTCTTCTTAGAAATCTTATGTTCGAATAATAATGTCGGGAGGGTCTATGCCTTGTTAATGATTAATAAAAATTCTTAACATATATTATTTTATAATCAAACTCGTACTATTTTTTTAAAATAATGATTACTGCAACAAAAGACAGCAATTTCATAGTGTTTTGAAAACGAGACAAAGGCGGCCATCGACGAACCATTTAAAAAAAAAATCAGCGTCCATTTCAGAAACTTGTCTCTGTCCCTCTGTATTAAAAACACACATTGTCACATTCCACGCTCTCTTTGTTGTTCAATAAGATTCTCATCCAACTGCCTTTCCCAGACCACTTGGAAACTTCATCTTATTACCTCTTTTTTTTTTACATTTAACATTTGCCTGACCCTTTCTCTTTAAATAGTTCTCTTCACAATCAATCTCTCTGCAATCACTCAAATTACATATCAAATGGCTCGGTTCATTAACGGGTTCGACACTGTGATCAAAGCTAAACAAGTGGTCGATGCGGTTCCTAGTTGCAGAATCAAGGTTTCATGTGCTGATATATTGGCGATGGCAACTCGGGATGTGATTGCTCTGGTTTGTATCCCCCATGTTGTTATTATATTTCTAGCAATGTAAACAAGAAATGAGTTATGATATTGGTAAAATGTGATCGTAATTGCAGTCAGGTGGACCGTCTTATGCTGTTGAATTGGGGAGATTGGATGGGTTAAGCTCCTTTTGCAGCAAATGGACTCTCGCGAACAGACGTGATTGCTCTTTCAGGTACTATTCATGTTACTCAGACTTTGAGATAGTGTCAGATACCAATATGTTTTTAACTCGGAATATCTAATTTTTATAAATAATTTCATATAAAACATCTTTAAAGGGGTATATTCTTGAAGTCATGTGACCATGTCTAGATATAGATCAAACAGAGATCGAATTTAATTTACATCTTATATAGTTATATTAGCTGCATTAGTATAACAACGATTGCATGAAAACAATAAAAATAATTTAAAACTTTTCAATGCTGATCATTAAAGAATATTCTGACTAATCATCCAAGGATTAGACTTTAAGTAACGGATATAATGTATATATATGTATATAGTATGATTGTAGAGAATGATGCATAATTTTATATTAAGGGATGAAGTCATAAAATTTGAGAAATAAAAATATATTTTTAATATAAAATATAAAAAAATATTTAAAATATTTAACGGAGAGACTGTCCCCTCCTCCGATCCATCTTTGTACCATTGTAACATGAATGTACGACCACAAGCATGAACTTAGGGTTTTACTAAAGGGTCCTTGTGTTATATATTTGCAGCCGCACACAGCGTCGGATTCTCTCATTGCAGCAAGTTTTCAAACAGGATATACAGCTTTAGCCGTCAATCTCCGGTGGACCCGACACTCAACCGGGCGTATGCGACCAAACTTCAACAGATGTGTCCCAGGTATGTTGATCCCAGGATAGCCATCAATATGGACCCGAACGCTCCCAGGAAATTCGACAATGTTTACTTCAAGAACTTGCAGCAAGGCAAGGGTTTGTTCACCTCCGACCAGGTTTTATTCACGGACAAGAGGTCTAGGCCTCTGGTAAACGCATGGGCCGCCAATTCACAGGCTTTTAACAATGCCTTCGTCACTGCCATTACTAAGCTCGGACGCGTAGATGTTCAGACGGGGAAGAACGGGAACATTCGTAGGAGGTGTGATGCTTTTAACTGAGAATGTTTCTCAGATGTTATTTAGGATTAAACCGTTGGTAGACAAATTTTCAGGGTTTGGAACATCTATTGTTTAGTTTCTGTTGAGATTACTTGGTCCTGTAGTAAGTTGAATAAAGGGTTCCTTTACATTGTCATAAAAGTCGAAGAATATGTAAGTGAACAGGCCAACAGCAAATTGACGTTGTCTAAGCTTAGCTTGGATTGAATGACAAATGAATTAATGTTCAGTTCAAACGTCACTGTAAACTTTTTTCTTATAATTCTTAAGGGGTTGACTTCTGAACGTTTCCAGCGGATGAAGCTTAGGAAAAAAACAAACAAATGGCAAGCAATTTGTACTGTAGAATCAATCAAATCATTGAATTAAAAAATAAATTAATTTGGCTTTTAAACTAATTCTAACCAAAGTTTTAACAGCTTTTTTCTGAAATATTATTATGAAGACACTGATTTTATCCCATGAAATTTGGAGTTTTTAAAAGAAAAAAATCTAAGAAAATTATTAAATTAAAAAAATTCTGAAAATGTCACATGATTACATCATGGCATGACATGTAAAATCAATTAATAAAACTGTTAAATTTAACAATTATTGGCCAAAAGGATGAAGGTTGAAATTTCAAAATATAAGGATTTAATTGGATGAATTGATTTTTTTCCCGAAGTTTGAGTGCTTCTGCACCCTTAAGCCTCAAAAGAAAAAGACTTGGACAAAGTTTCAATGCTGCAGCTTATCAAATGTGCATTAATCCAACTCGTTGATACATATCAAGACATAAATACAAGATATAATCTTCCTAAAACGAAATTTGCCTCACATCATTTCAATGAACATTAGTCATTCTCACTGAATCACTGATGGATAAACAATGCCTCTTAGATGCATGCAGTCATAGTTACTTTACATGGTACCTGATCTGAGATATGAAAAGCAAACAACGACAGAAATCTAAGAGCAGACCTAGACATGTAGAAGTGCATGAACAAATCGTTGCCTATAGAAATAAGCTCACCGTTAGACCATTTGTTCGAGATATAAAGTTAGAATCATTTGTTCCTTACTTTCAATAAATGCAAGATGATAGCAGAAATGGTTTAGGGGCAAACCTTCTCAAGTCGTGTTGGCCAGTCTAATACAAGAATGAGGGGATTTAACTCCATTGCGACTCGAAAGTCTAATATCAATGTAGAAATGTAGCAACCTTGGGTTTGGGCAAATTTCGCATCCCATTGAAAGTGACAATGGACCAATTATGACCTTGTTTGATTAGTTTCTAGCCAGTTCCAAACACGTTTTTATAAATCTCTTGATGAAGGCCATCAAGACTATTGTTCAACACATGAGCACAATCTACTGAGATGCTTAATCCCTCCAACTCCAACTTTTGTTCCCTTAGCATTAGAAGAGATGCCAAGTGGGGATCTAACAGGACTCCTATTGTGAATACTCTGCAGCTCTCTTCTCCATCCTCCACAGAAAGAGGTGGTATGCCTACTCAACGAAAGCAATTCAGTAGCACTTTTCTGTCATCAACATCACTATTGTCGAATTAAAACGATGAAATATCTTCATTGAATTGTGACTTTTGTAATTATTCATAACAAACAGTAATTCTTCACAAAATTTACATTCATTGAAGAGATTATATTTTGAATCTACCATCTTTTTGGTAACTTCTTTAAAAAAATGAGTCAACACAAGATATTTAGGGTACCAATTTTTTAACGTCATGAGGTGTTTTAATCTTCCTCGCATGCATCTGACTTCTAAACTCTTTTTACCTGGTTTTACATGTAGACCTTTCATATCACCTTTTTTTTCCCAAGAAAATATTCAACAATTTTTTTTAAAAGGGTCAAATGAGTTAATCTCTTGAGTTTTAAATTTCAAGAATGGAGTGTGTGACCTTTTGTTTCCTGGAAATGCCAATTAACTAACTAATCCTTGAAGTGAACTTTTCAGGGTTTTATAAACATGAGTTAATAAGCACAGCTATTATGGCACATGAAAGGCCATGATATGGATAAATTATATCATATGCATAATAATGATCATGATGGGATGGTAATGGTGATGGTGATTGGAACTAAACGACGCCGTGGCAGGTCCTCTGAATTCGTTCTTATCCTTTGCCATAGTCCCCTCTCTCACCATGCAATTGCCGACTTGTAAACCTTTGCTTTATCGATTATATATCTTTGAACAATTTGATTTTTTAAACTATGATAGTCGGGGAATGCTGGTTAATGATAAAACAAAAGATCTGGTTTTTTTGTCTATGATTTCTCATACAATTTCAGTTATTTAGGGCAGATAATTCTTAGGCTGTCTTGTTAATTTTTCCATTAAGTTTAATATAAAGTTTTAAGGTTTTTAGGTCATGTCCCCATCGTCCCCAAACAGAATATCCTCAATTTCTTGGGATGGAAATAAATGTTTTTATGTTTCTTTTTTCTTCCAATTATGTAACAACTTGGCTCATTTGAAGCAAGTTGGTTTATTTTTGCTCTACTTTTCTTCTGAGAAATTAGTGGAGACAAATAATATTACAACATGATGGATAGTTACATATATATAACATATAAAAGTCAAGACACATGCATTAAAATAGTGCAATTTGAATATATACTTATAAGAATAAAAAAAAGTATTTGATATATTATTAGTTATGTTTATAAATTTCACTAAAATGTTTAAGCAACATTTCAGAAGATGTATACTTTAACGTATTCAAACACTTATTATCTTTTAATTTAAAGATTTGAGAATTTAAATAATTTAAGTTTTGTATAAAAATTTTATTGAAATACTTAATATATTTTATATTTTTTTTTAAAAATAAACTTTATTTTCATTAACCAAAAATAATGTCAAGTAAAGTATTCATAATCAAAATACAACGATATGTACGTAATAGATGTTGTGGAATTCGGGTTAATTTCCACCAATAATAACAAATTCACCTTGAAAACTATTATCTAGGTGACTAGTGTGAAAACGATTGTACTAAAAATCACCCCAAGACAGATTCCCAGGAAATAGGAGGGGTTACAATGGTCCCTCTTAAAACCCACTTTCCTTAGACAGAACTACCAAGACAAGTAATTTTAATAGGACAATAATTAACAACAATTATACCCGACAATAGCTATTAAATAGACATAAAGAGAACACTAAAATTTAACGAGGTTAGGCTAAAATTATGCCTACCTCCTCTATCACTACTAAAATAATATTTCACTAATAGAGGAAATATTACAAAGAGAGAAAGAGTACAAATAGCCTTTAATAGTGAAGAATGCTTATATTTGTGGGATGCTAAACTAAGGAGGATGAGGGTTCTATTTATAACAAAAGAATTTCCCCTCCTCTTTATACAAAACCAATGTGGGATATTTGCCAAAAACCAAAAATCTCCACCTTGGCAAATTCCACACACATCTTTCAAAAAATCCAATCTTCAGTAGTGTCTGCAAATTCATCTTTCAATTTGTAACAATATTAACAAAGTCTAAACAATGTTTAAACTTGACCGCAGTTACAACTTTTGTCAACATATCAGCAGGATTCTCAGTGGTCCGAATCTTCTGGATTATGACTCCACCTTCTTCTAGAATCTCTCGTACAAAGTGATATCGAACATCGATGTGCTTCGTCCTTGCATGGTAAACTTGGTTCTTTGCTAAATGAATAGCACTCTGACTGTCACAGTGCACTTTGATGTGCTTTTGTTCCATTCCCAATTCATCAAGCAACCCTTGAAGCCAAATTACCTCCTTCACAGCCTCTGTAACTGCCATATACTCTGCCTCTGTAGTAGACAAAGCCACTATTGACTGTAAGGTGGACTTCCAACTGACTGGTGCTTTTGCAAATGTAAACACATAACCAATAGTTGATCGACGCTTGTCCAAATCACCTGCATAGTTTGAATCACAATACCCAACTACACACTGACCATCTTGTTTGTCATGTTAAAAGACCAAACCAACATCTACGGTGTTCAGAATATACCGCATAATCCATTTCACAGCTTGCCAATGCTCCTTTCCAGGATCATGCATATACCTACTCACAACCCCAACTGCTTGTGAAATATCAGGTCTCGTACACACTATTGCATACATCAAGCTACCAACAACACTTGCATACGAAACCTTTGACATGTATTCCCGTTCTGCATCATCCTTAGGTGACATGGATGCACCGAGCTTGAAATGAGGAGCAAGAGGTGTACTAACTGGTTTTGACTTCTCATTCATGCCAAAACGTTTTAGTACCTTCCTCATATATTCTTTCTGAGACAAACAAAGTCTCCCCAATTTCTTATCCCTTGATATCTCCATGCCTAGAATCTTATTCGCTTCACCAAGATCCTTCATCTCAAACTCCCTGTTCAATTGAGTCTTTAGTTTCGCAATTTCTGTCTGACTCCTGGAAGCTATCAACATATCATCAACATAAAGAAGAAAATATATATAGGATCCGTCTTGTAGCTTGCGTAAATACACACAATGATCATATTTGCTTCTTGTGTACTTATGCCCTATCATAAACTTGTCAAATCGCTTGTACCACTGCCTTGGAGATTGCTTTAATCCGTACAACGATTTTTCTAATTTGCACACCATCTCTTCTTTTTCAGCAACTTTGAATCCATCTGGTTGAGTCATGTAGATTTCCTCATCCAAGTCTCCATGTAAAAATGTAGTTTTTACATCCATCTGAACTAGTTCCAAATCCAACTGTGCTACCAAAGCTAACAAAATTCTTATGGAGGAATGTTTTACAACTGGAGAAAATACTTCATTATAATCAACTCCCTCCGTTTGAGCGTAGTCTTTAGCCATCAATCTTGCTTTGTAGCAGATGTTATTCTTGTCAGGAAATCCATCTTTCTTTGCATATACCCACTTGCACCCAATTGCCTTATTTCCCTTCGGAAGACTAGCTAGTTTCCACGTCTGATTCTTTTGAAGGGATTACATTTCTTCATTCATGGCGATCCTCCACTTTTTATGTTCTGAACTTTGGACTGCTTCATTAAAAGTGGCAGGAACGTCATCAATTGCA